TATTATTATTATTTCTATTAGTATTAGTATTTTAACAAAAGAATACTAAATAGGATACTTTAAAAAAGAATGGAAAATGAAGCCAAGTGGAAATAGAGGCGTTTTCTTCTTATCCTATATTTGATTGACCCATTAATTTACATTTGATTTATATTTGGAAAAGTCACTTGGATCTATGATTGGTTATATTTAACTAGATCTGAAATTTTAAATTTACATACCAGCAAACTTCTTTTGACTCCTTCTGCATAGCTTATTGCTTTCGTAATCGATAACATTCAGTTGGCTTAAATTACGCGAGTACATTACTGTATTTGTTGCGGGTCGTGAATTCAAGTAAACCCAACAGGATACAATTAGGTAACACAACTACAACATTATATTTCATTGTAATTCACTTCAATGCGGAAAAATTTTAACCTATTTTTATCGCATACTTATTGATTTAATGCCGCTTTTTATTCAAAAATTTCGGTGTAAGACAAAGGACAGAAAAGGGAAAAAGGAAAAAAGTAAACAAACTAGAATAATAGTTGCTGGAACCCAAAAAATCAACATCATATGAACAACAACGTAAATGTTTTCCTGTTCCATTAGTTGATGCGATGTTCCGGCACTACGGTTTTGCACGGCTTGCTCAACGTGAACTATTTCCCAGATCTGTATTCAAATTCATTCAGAACCAAAATTAAAGCAATCAATAGGTAAGAATGAAATTTCAAATAGAAACAGAAATAAAAACGAAAATACAATCACGAAAATAGTAATTAATAGAATGTAATTAGAAGAAACACGATAGAATAATACCTACCAACAATGAAACGAATTCTTAAAAATTTTGCAACCATATGTCGAAGCAACATTTACCTGCATACATTGACTCCAATTAAGTTCCTTAAATGCGAGAAACGTTTTCCATACAACAAACTGTGGTATGCTAATAATAGCAGCAGCAATCCATGCTATCATAAGCATGGTTCGAGTCCTTCGTTGCGCTTTTTCTGATGAATGATGTTTTGATGATATTACCGATAATAACCGATCAATTGCTATACAAACAATCGCATTTGATAACACCTGCATTAAAATTTTTGGCTACAATACAATGATTTCAAAATGACTGACATCTATCTATCGGTTTTTTAATGCTTATTATTAACAGACCGCAATTTAGATGAGAATTTTCCAGCTAAGAACTTAATGAAATTTTATGTTGGAAATTTGCAATGTCAATCCTACTTTCTGGACTTTAAAAAGATCTTAGTGGTGTTCAGTCAGATAGTAGAGATCCATCACGCGCTGTTCTTTCTTTGCTTTCCAAACCTTATCAACATTTATCAGAATCTTTCCGGAAGATAAATATTTCAGAAAGCATTTAATCAGTAAATGAAGATTTTAAGACACTAAAATTGTTACCGTGATCCTTCTTCTGAATACAAAAGGGGGCAATTTGTGAAGTGACTGATAACTATCGGCAATATACGGCAATTACGGCAATTTCTTAACTAAGAAGCTAGTTCTTGGACAAAAATCCATTCATAACCTCCCATTTTGTACAAGACTAACATAATCATTATTCCTATAACTAAGCTAAGTGATACCCAACTTTTACTTAACCAAGAAGTTATTTTTTGAAAGTTCGTGAGTTTTCTCACCAATCTTGAAATTTTCACCTGAAAAGAAAATGTATGAAGAAATCTGATAATTTTACATAAGGAATTTCCACCTCGCCAATCATATGTCAGTAGCCAGCAGACTCGTGATGGGACATAAATGAGCAGTACAAGTAAATCAGAATAATTCAAACGTCGTTTCAAAATATCAAAACGTGTAGTCGATGGTCGCTATGTGATCTAAAATTTTAATAAAATTTTTGTTTTCTAATAGTAAACATGAGGATGAATGATATGACGAATGTGATAGTTCGTGAAGAATTTTTTGTGACGTGTTTTAAGGGTAATGTGTTGTGTTGCAGTGCTGATTTGTTCCGTTAACTTTGTTAGTCTTCGATGCTAATGCGTTCCTTAATTTAAATACTACTCCCTTTAAGATTAAGACATTTCTGATCTGAGAGACTGTTTTTCAGTTTTCTTCCCTTCGGAGTCCTAATACCAGGACGAGGGTAAACCAATACCGCTGTTGTTGGGCGTTGCCTTGGCTGGTCGTGTTCTTCAGTGGTTTTGAATTTTTTTGGTTTTATAATAATTTCATTCGAGCAAATTGAATTAACTGGTCCCAAATATTTCTTTACAACTTAGCAAACCTTCCTACTTTGCAAAGAGCAAAATCGACATAACCTACCTGATATTAGAAGGAAAGTCAATATGAAAGATGAGAAAACGAAAGATGAGAAAGTAATGCGAATGGTTGGAAGGTCAAATGAATTGAAATGGTCGGAACTAGGATGCATTCATGTTCAGAAAGCAGTAACTGCCAGACCATATTTTATTTTCATTTTCAATTCCAAAAAAAAAAGTTTCAATATCAAAGTGATTTCTCGCAAGATAAGTGCATTTACCTTAATGTGTGCTGCAAGATTCAATGGTCCACCAATAAGAAATAAAGTGAGTAATGTTCCTAGTTCAATATAATCGCTTGCAATTGGTTCTGGTGGCTGATCATTGTCAGCCATTATCTGAAAAAAATATTCAATAAAATCAAAAGATAAAACAAGAAAGCCAAATTACACTTAAGTTAAATCAAACTTACACTTGAAATATCAATGTCGATACTGATGCATATGGATAAAAGAAGTATAGACAGTAAGATTAAAGACAAAATGTATGTTTTACAAAAATAAACGTATGTTTTAAGCAGTTTAATAAAGGCGTATTTTAAAAAAATGTTTTATGAAAATTTGAAAATCTTTTAACGAATTTAAGCTTGTTTTTTGCTCACATCTTCCGTAAGAGTGCATTTGCCTCGTAAGATGGGAAGTTGAAGATGCTAAGAATAGCCAAAGTGAGAGACGCGACGTTCGCGTGATGTGATATTACAAAAAATTTTGGGGATGAAGAAGTTCAAGAAGAAAAGCAAAAAATGTCATTCCAAACTAAGGCCAAACGACAGTAAGTAATGATTCGAAGTGCATTGGTTCTAGTGAAATCTGCTGAAAGGTTGTGCAAAATTAGAATGAACTTTTGCGGATTTCTTCTTGTTTAGGCAATTCATCTGCTATCATCCTTATTGCCTTCTCTGATGAAATCTTCCAAAAAGTTCTTTCTTCATCAATCTCGCAAATACTTAGTGTAACTTCTTAAAAAACATGGGAGTAACAGTAAGTACTACTCGTAATCAATTACTCTTTTGAGTAGTGCTGTTGTATACCACCGATCTCGAACTCTCTCCATTCTGGCTAATGGAGCGAACTAAGAAGAAATTTCTCCACTTCAAAATTTGTCACATAATTGTTCTATATCATAACCATTTTGTGTAGTTACAAAATTAGCGTACGAAAATTTTCTTTAAAATATTTTTCGCATGTGTAATCGTTGCACCCCAATCACCCACAGCATTTTAAAGGTTGACATGTTAGTTGTTAAAAAGATTTCTTTCCATAGATTATGTTACATATCATATTATTTACATATCCCTTTAAGAAGAAAATGTAAAATAGGAGAGAAATATTTCTGAAGCAAAAGTTTGACGATTTCCATCAATTTAATAAAACAAACAATAGCGAATTGTCTGAAGAGAAGAACCGAAGTGAATTCTTTGAGCATTGCTCTCGAGACAAAATATGAGATATCGTATTGTAACAAATAGTGTGAAAATTTCTGTGTGTATGAGTCTGACCCTAGAAATTCATAAATATTATTATCAGGTTTTTTTTACGATATCAATCGTTTTTTGCAGTAGCGAGATTCTAGGCAAGGAAGGAAAGCGACATTATGAATAGCATTCCATCAAAACTCTACAAAATCTTTTATAATTAAACAGATTTTTCAGGATTTTTAAATGAGGAAATAAAAAAAGTTGAGTATTTCGGAATGATTTTCTGTAAGGATTAGCAATCAAATGATTTATTTTCTTGTTTGAACTACAACACGCTGTGGTTATCTTTTCTTGGCAAGTAATGAAAGTCTGGGATGTGGAAGCGAGTTGGGGAAAATGTCATTTCATGAGTCAGCACGGCAAAACGGCAAAATGGTGACTTATGACTTTTTTAATTTTAAACTCTCTTGAGTTTTACACCAAACTAAATTGTTTTATATTATATGACATAACCATTAGTAAAATAAATGAAAATTTGTCAATAAGGAATTCTCATGAATACTTTCTTCAAATGTAACAGGTAATAGGACATGCTATGTAACAGGTAATAGGACATGCTCTCTCAACTTTAAAATTGAGCCGAAATGAATAGGTTATTACATAACGTACTTCCTTATTAACTCTGGGTTTAAATTAAGAGTTGTGAGCATCTCAGAGAGTGTATATATTTAATGATGTAATATTTAATAATTCAACAATATCAGCGAATCAATGAAACTGATATCGATATGAAAGGGCGGTTTTTTAAATATGGCATATTTAATCAATTTTACGTGTTTTCGAAAATTTTCCATGCTGTAATAAGATGTATTAAGATAAAGGTGAAATAAAATGGAAAAAGTATGACATTTTATAACGTAACATTTTTTTTACATCTTCAAATTAAAAAAAAAAGCGATGACAACTACCGATGCCTATGTCATTTTTTAATTGTTTTGTCACAAACTTAACAATTACTCCAGTAAACTCAATTTTTTTAGTAATCAAAGTTGCATTCTATTTACCATCCGAATCATTTGAAGGAATATAACTTCATATGAAACTTACTGCATGCGACTAAATCTGCCTAGGACGTTGAAATTATACTTTCCATTACAGTTCTCCAACTGTTAAAATCCCATGGTAACAATAAGAAACATTGTTTTATCTCATTTATTTTGCATTTAGGCTTTAAAAAAAAAAAAAAAAAAAGAAAAAAAACGTGAATTAAATATTCAGTTCGTTACACTTCGAGTATTTCCTGTTGCAAGAGATTGTTGACGCAGTTTAGTACCGTCATATTTTACTGAAAATAGATTTGATGGATCGAGTCCTGATGTGATATTGATGGAAGCAGAAGGATCAATAAGGATTATCTGGGAGAAGATTGATTATGCCAAGCGTAAATAAAAGGAACAACAAAGGCATCGTCCATAATTACCTTCTTTTTGTCCCGTCGCGTTGTCGTGGTCTTAATCCAAAAAGTCGCACAGATCATTGTGATTTATTTCATTTATTGTCTGTTATCTTCAATTTCAAAATCTTAATTCGAACAAGTGGAATAAAAAAAAAGTCCGTTATGTTCCTATCTCAAGTGAATTTATCATAACATAGCTTTGGATGCAATTACATTTGCAAATACACTAAAAGGAGATTATTTATATTTCCAAAAAAAGAAGATTGAGGCATTCTAGGTGATGCAATTTTTCTGTTCAACAGCATTAGTTTCATATATGAAAAAGTAATTCACTTTTTATTTCCACGAGATTTTTAAAATTAATTACAAATACTTCAACACCAGGAGGAGTGAAAAGTGAAGAAATAAGAAAAATGAACTGGTGTGAGTTCATTTTTCATTTTGCTCATCACACTTTAAAAAAGTTTTGTTAAACTTTATTTATAATATTAGTCGTTTTACAAGCCTTCATTAATGACAATTCAAGCAGATTCTCTCAACTTCATGCGTACACAATGAATTAAAAACCATTGTGCTTCATAAAAGAAAAATCAGATTATATTCAATGATTGAAAAACAAATGCGAAGTTGAATTTCTTTCGGAATTACGTAATTAAGTGAAGTATTCATGTGTAAAATGAACAAATATGAAAAAAAAAATTGGTCGAATTATACTTATTGTCTTCGAAGTGTTCCCATCAAATATGTATATCGATCCTTCTCACCAGGAAATTAAGTATCCGGCTCCACGTTGCTACCGCTTCGGACTGAAAATATCACCGACTTATTTCAATCACACCAAATATTACATTTTGATATAAGACAATTTAACAATAGCTATTGGATTCAGATAGCTAACAGAACTAATAACAATAATATTAATAACAGTTAGTATAAATAAGAAAATACAAACGACGAGTAGTCTACAATATGTCCGAGAATAAGCAAACTGGATGAAATGCTAATGGTCAGGTAGGAAAAGAAGCAGATGGGTGGAAAAAAGAAGTAAATATGTAAAGGAAGAATCATTTTTCAGACTTTTGACTAACGATTTATGCAATAATGAATATCAACGGTCAAAAAGTACTGTTAAATATACATTTTCAGAAGCTAAAAAAGCTCAAAATTTAAGTTCAAGAATGGTTATTAAAGAAATTCTTTCAAGTGAAGAAGCTATACGAAAGCAACAATACATAAATTTTGAAAGTCAAGATTCGAAGTCATGAATTAACTTTGTAGACGTTAATCAGTACATTTACATTTTACAAAATAATCGGACTGGTCAACATGTTCATGGTATCATCCCTGGATGAACTGTTGCTCTGATACTAAGGAGCAGCGTTCGAAATTTACATTTTCTAGCTGAATTTTTGAAGCTAATCTTCATTGTCGGGAAGACTCTAAGCACAAAAATGTTTACTTACATTTCTAACTTTCACGAATTACATTATCATCCCTTACTAATTGCTCACATATTTTTATATTTTGTTTTCAGTTATAAAAGCGTTTCACCTTTTTTTCATTACTCGTTGAAAACTATTAGAAGTGAGAAACAAAATGTTTGAGACAAGTGGCCTAAGCAGTGAGCACTCAAATTTTATCTGTATAAATTATTAGCGAGAAAATTTCTCGCTTTTGCATTTGGCTTTAAAATTCTAAAAAAAACTTATAGACAAACCTTAAACTTACTTGCTAAGTTTGGACAAATTGTTTGTACTTCTTCTGGAAATTTTTTGAAAAATTGTGGAATTAATTTTTAAAGAATTTTTCGGCTTCCGTCCACTTTTATTAATTACTATTTCAACAAAAAATTATTTATTAAATATTATCTGAACGGAAATTCTGATTTCCTCAACAATCGAAAACCTCAGACGATCTATATGAGTAGATTCGAATTAATTATAAACTCATATACCTTTTTTTGCTGAGCTTCTTCTAAAAAATGCACAATATTGTTTAAAATTTGGGTATCCAAAATCATGTTCCAAAATTTCTTATTTAAATGGCATCTAATTAATTTATTTTGTTTTAAATTTGTTTTCAATTACTTATGAGTCAAGTCAGATTTCGAATAAAGTTTTTAGGTTTAAAAATGAAATTTCGCATAACACCATATAAATAAATTTTGTTGAGGACATATGCCCACTTCATTACGAGCATTAAAACTTACATTTTCTTTAGAAAAGACCTGATATAAGGGGTAAGTTAACGATGAAATAATGACCTATTCTTCGCTACGGACAATCCCTCATGTGCCCTAATCGGATGCAAGTAGTGGCTTATGACTATGGTAGGATCTTCCATGCCGGACAGGTTTTAATTAAAAGATCAGACAAAGTATGCCCATGGGCAGAATGTGCTCGCTAGCCCTCAGGTACCAATTTAGAGAAGGACAGCTCTAACTCCAAATCCAGACGGATCTCGCTTAGTTTGTAAGGCCATCCATCTCAGATAAGAATACTCCAACAAAACTTACGTACTGAGGACTTCGCTGTCACCTTCAAGCTCATTAGGCCCAGGCAGATGAACTTTTGGAGTAAAGGGTATGGCCAGTTCAACGCATGCTGTGCTTCACCTGAAAAACCTACTGCGTAGACTAAAAGCATTTGTAGCATTTGCAACAACAACGGGTAGAAGACCTCCCCAAATTTTCGTTCGCGAAGCACAGCTATGATGATGATAAGTGTCCTTAATGTTCCATTTGCACTCTTGGCATCTTCGTCACAATATATAAAAATAAACTTCTTGGAATTTCAATAAATATGATTGTTTAATAAACAGAAATTAAATGAATTTCATGAACTGAATTGAAACAGTTTAAAACATAACATTCATTTGAATCCAATGAAATGAGAAATGAGGAATTCAAATATGATGTGTGAACGTGGAAGTGCAGAAATTTCTACTTTTTTCTTCAAGAACTGATTGACCAAAAAACGAAGTTATTTATTAAAGTTAGATCACAGTTCATTTCTCGAGTACAATGGCAAGCAGTACTAAAGTTTAGAAACAGAGGAAATGGTGTAAAAGAAACTGAAGAAATTTTATAGCAGTGTGTGAACCCAAGAGACGAGTCAATTTGGGTTTAAAATTAAGTCCAAATTTAAATTTTGATGAAAAACTAAAAGATTTAAAGATAAAAACAGAGTAGTTCACTGTTCAAAGAAAATAGTTGCACTCCGCGACGTTTCTGTAGGAGGATATGATTTCAAACGATTCGGCATCGAAAGCGCAACATGTGGATATGTATGTGTAGTCTGACAAATATAGTTTAAACTGGATAAAACGGATATGACTGAAAAAATTTTGCAAATTGAGCGGTTCACCATCTAGTTTTATTTCCCTAACTCTAAAAAATTTTCTTCTCATCATCCTCTCCCTTACTTGTCAATTAAGTTGTACAGTCAACTGAGGGTATTTGCTAAATTTACGGCCAGATCATTTTATATGTTTTTTTTAATATTTTTTAATGAGAGTTGTCACCTGCTTTTCCATTCTCAGCCTTTTATTTTTCAGTAAATAAATATGAAAAACTTTCTGGTGTTTTCGAGGGCCAAGTTTGACAACGATGAAAAGTTCCAAAACGGAGTGCAAAATAATGCAGTAATTATCAATTTTCCATTATCAGTAAAAGCTTGCGGTTGCACTCTGTTCACATTGCTGTTGTTTTTATTTATGTTTGCGATTTCCAAAATTCGAAAAGGATTTTTTTGACCAGATGTCTTCCTTTTTCCGCGAAAGTGATCCCTACAGACATAAAGTCTATCCTAATGCATTGTAGCTAATAATAGGCTAGTAAGCACTTTTTTATATAAATTTTCAATATGATTATTGAAAATGCCTAATGCAAGAATGATCTATTTAGAAATGTTATAAAATATAATTTAAACAGTATCGCAGTTCATTAGGATAGTGTATCGATGAGATTGTGTGTAATAAAAAAATAAAGAAGTATATATTAAGGGAGTGACTAGCCGTGAGTATCAGAAAAGTTAAATTTACGTTATTTTAGAATAATGAAAATGCAAAACGAGATGAAATTCAGTGCGTTAATTTTACTTTCTGAAATATTGTACCACTTATAATGAAGAAAATGCTTAACTTCATGCATTGTTGGAATTCCGCAAATAACATGGAGGAAAGATATTGTCAGAGAGTATTAAAATAGAAAAATCAAAAAATATTTTCAAAACATATTTCAAAAATATTTCAAATTTTTTAAAAAAAAATATTTCAAATTTCTGAGTGACGTTTACTTGCAGTAAAAAACACGTGGAAGTGAAAGTAACATAAATTTACGAAAAAAGACTTTTTTTTTTTCGATCCGGCTAAGGAGAAGGAATGTGTGTGGATGATAAATAACGGATCCATAGACCAATGAGTCAAGTAACGTCATATGCTTACATCAAAATTCGTATAGTATTGATTAAAAAAAAAATAGCGAGCAACGCGGCGGAAAGGAATACTTTTCCCGCATCAAATTTTGGAACATTCAGAGAGCTCTATTTGGCTAAGGCTCAGAAGTGAGTCTTGTTAGAATTTTGTTTTTCTTTTTGTTTCGCAATATTATGAATATTTTTTCAGTTCTTCAACTGCAGAAAAATTAGAACGATGAATGCGCGAAATCTTCCATCTTGCTTAAACTGCATCTTTTATACATCTTAAGTTCAATAAAACAATATAAAGGAAGAACAATGTTTGTGGAAATTTTATCCAGAGACGAACTTATCGTGGTGCGAGAGTAACTACCAAGGTACTTCATCAGTAGTTCCAAGAAACTGAAAGGATGTCACGAAACTGTTGCCGTTACTAGTATCTTAATTATCATATGAAGCTAATGAAATGATCTGCTAGCTTATGTTGTACATTTCATGTATTCCCATGTACAGCATGTAGTTGGCTCAGCATCTGAAGATCTGCTGAAATAAAATTAATTTCCTGCATGGGTATCTTGGTAGTTCGGAACTTAATTTCAATAAAATGACCTGTATTTGAAAATCGTCTCAAAATTCTTGTAAAAAAATTAATTTATTGATTTTCTGATGCGCTTGACTAGGGGAAAGAAGGAAAGTAAAGAAAGGGAGACCAGGTACATTTTTCATTGGAAAAAAAGGTAATAAATAGAATAATAAATTAGATGACACGACTTCTAAATTAGTTTGAGTAAAAAATTGATTTTATCAAATCAGTATGATAAAATCGTATGTTATCCATTGGGATTTTTCAAGACATTAACGACACAAAAATTAAATAAGGTCAAATGTGCATTGTATATGGCTTCATTAATGAGGATATAATAAAAAAGCAAATTATTATGTATCAAAGACATGTTATGTGTTTTAAACAGCGGCACAAATGCAAAATTATTTACTCAGAAAAATGAGAAATCAATCAAACATTTGTAGGAAACATTAATAACGCTTTAATAATTTTGGTTAGGAACAGAACAGGTACCACGAAGGATACAACTCTGAACAGTGAATGTAAGCTTCGCTGCTTAAATCGAAAGCCTTTACGTTTTACTTCAGGTAAGGATTGTCCTTGTGTAGTGTGGAATCCAACATTCAAGATCGTCAGTATATTATGAGCAGAGTTCTAGTCAGTTAAAATTGGCCTAATTTTCTTGGAGAATAACGCTGTGGATCATAACGTAAATTTTGATATCTGCATCATACTATTTGGCTCTAGCAAGCGAGAGGGAGAAGAAAATGAACAAATACAAAAACTGTCAAAACTGGTTTGAATAAACCTAAACAGTTTAAATTCTATATTTGGAAAACTTTGAAACAAAAGAGTCTTAATAAGCAGTGCAATCCTTTTTCTTTACACATGACGAATTCAAAAATAATTTGCCCCAAATATGCCTATTTTGGCACAAGAAGTTTTCTGCGACTTTTTCCACATTTATTGTTCCTTAACCACAGATCTCAATGAAAAAACCTTTGTTTAGATTGATAAAATTCTCTCACCAAAAAAATTTTATGCTGATCTGTGAAGCTAATCAGTTTTTTCATTCATTTATTTGCCTTCAACCAACATACAAGTGTTGTCTATTAAAATGCCAAGAATACATTGATGAAATTGTGCTTTGTAGGTCTTTTTATTTTTTTCTAACAGTTCAGCTATTTTTCAAAATCTAAGCAGCAATGAATTAAGTAATGCAACAGGTACATATCATCACTGATATCCTTTGGAGATGTAATGTCAATAAAGACATAATGTCTTCATACTAAAAGAACGGTTGCATAAAACTCGAATTTCCGTTCGTGTGTTTTATTAAGCCTCTAAGAAAGCTGCAAAAATAAATTATATGTAGAAGACATATTAAGAGCTAGAGTTGTTCAGCTATGAATAATTTCATCGGCAGAAGCGAAAATTGGCGGAAGTATAGTTCTTGATGTCGAATCTCTTACGAAACTGATATGGAAGTAACTCGGTCCTGGCATAATAATAAACTTGATTTTATGTTTTTATGGAATGAATAACCGTGTGAAATAAATTCTACAAAGTTATTAAACCCCAGCTGGTCGTTCACTTAGACATTTTATCACACTGACTTTTTGTAGGATAGCCTAGAATAGACATTAATTAATATCTTATTCCACTTTTCGGAGTTTGTTTTCAGCATCAGGGATAGCAGTTAATAATTCGACCCATCAAACTTCTGAAGACAGTCAGGACCACATTTCTGCAAAAATACTGCTGGTATTTTAATTTCTTTTTAAGGGATAACTTGAACAGATTGACAAATTAACCGAATGGTTAGACGATCACTAATCCACGAAATGATCGAAATTTTTAATTATTGCTCTTCAACAAGTACACACTGAATTGGTGAAAAATAACAGTTCTTGAAATTGTTCGCGGAGCGCAACACTATGTGATGTTCTGGTTGTCTTCCTTCAGGATGACCAGTTTGCTCACGTGATATAGTACGCCATGGGAGTAACTGAGATATTGCCAGATTTTCCCTAGAAAATTCTTTTTTAGAACGCAGAAAATTCAGATCGAGTTTGCATTTCCAAAAGAAATCTTCGATTTTTTGGAAATCTTATCAAGAAAAACTGCCGTGCCATCAAGTTTCTCGAGATCAGTTCGACAAGGTACAAGGAACAGAATGTGCTCGTAAAGTTACCATGCGTTGTTTCGTAATTCCTCGTCCCACAGTGAAATTCTGGCAGAGTTTGCCCTGCAAATTCATTTTCCTTTTTTTTTTTATGATATCATTAGCAGCACAGCTGGAAACCTATTCTAAATTTGTAGTTGTGGTCATATAAGAAACGCTGGAGAACGCTTTCTCCTCTGCTCTCCGTTCATCATACTTCGTAATTATTTTGTTCAATTTGTGTAACTCTGAATTCCCACTTGCTTCTCATACTTCATTAGGGATATACAATTCCAAGTTATTTAGGAGTTATATGAAAGTAATCTGACGAAGCTACATGACAAACTTAAATTGAAAACATAACTACCACTGTCGACGAACGAAAATATGTTTCAAATAATTTGCCTTGGAACTGATGTTTCCAAACGTTTTCTTGAAGTTTTACTAGAGACTATTCGATTCCTCGAGGTAGAACTCAGTTCGATTACTATTATCATAATTTGTGAAATGCGCTACACATTTATCACCACCGAGCACATTAGAGTCAATGAATCAGCTGTCTTCGTTAGAAAATTAAAACAACTGTCTATTTCAATTACTGTAATTTTCCATTTCTATCATATCTGTGGTTCAAGGTCCCTTTTCAGCAATAAACTCAGACTCGAGAATGGAAATATGACTCGAATTATATCTGTCGATTATAAAATGTGAATTACTGAAAAACGTTCAGGCTTGCGAAAAGCATTAATTACCAATGGTCAATAAATACAACTCCAGTGAAACGAGAGAACAAAATTAAATAATTCAACTATCCGATTACGCCAAATAAATAGCGAAGATAGGCGGAGCAGCCACCTAAACCTATTTCATGTGGCGCAGTTTTTCATCTTTCGCCTACCTATTGGAAGACTACAACTTCCAATGCCTGCATCTATAAGCGTTTCTTTGCTCGCTAGCAGTACCTCTAAATCTTCCGATTCTCACCAAACTCTGCAACTTTTAGTTTTCTAGAATTTTGGATAGATGAGCATGATTCCACTGCTTTGGAACTATAATCGAAAGAAATTCACTACAAGTTCTAACAAATTAAACTATAATCAAAAGAAATTTATCACAAGTTCTAGCAAACGGGGATCAATCAATTCGTTTTATACGCCCCAAACTTATCAATGAAACTGCAAGTGAAAAAACTACAGCGCAGTCCTGCATTTACAACACAAAATGAAAGACGAAGAGAAATCCAACACAGTGAACATAAATCAAGAACTATAAGAATTTTTCAGTAGTAAATTTGCAGATAGAATCTATGAAATTTTGCTCCCGAAAATTGAAAACGTAAATTAAAAAAGCATTAGGACAAATTGGACTCAAATAATAATGGATAATACAATCCACACATAAAGATATCATCAGAGCATTATGCCTTTACTGGGTTGTACTATCAAGAATGCACCTTAAGAGGGAAATGTAAAATAAAAGGGAATGAAATTGTTGGGAAAAATGTGACAAGGGTAAGCTAAGGAAGTAATTTCGAACATTCCAAGGAAAAGAACAAATGATAAAAGACATAGAAACGCGTAAATATGTCCAGCAATGAATAAATGAGCAGCTCAACGTAGAGATCATCATCTGCTTAAACAGACAAAAGCATTTGCACTAGCTTAATAAAGTCAGAGTATCTTTAGCTGAATAATATTATGCGTACATATTATCTTCTTTTCCATAGTGATTCAGTGAAATTCGTAGAAATTAGAAAAAAACTAACAGATGTCTATAAAGGCCATATATAAAGACAATATTAATTTTTTAAAAACAACGAGTAGAACATTCTCAAACACATACTATGGGATAACAGGAAGATTAAGATATGCTGCTCCTAGTTTGGTATGAAGTTTTTTACGAATATACTCCATGTAAAGGTCACTAACGGATTCAATTCTTGAGCAAATGCCATGGACTTCTTGCCCGTTTCAGAATTACTTGATAACCTAGTGAAGCATGTCTAACAACGAACACTAACTTCACAAAAATCCTTAAAATACGACAAAATTATGTTTAACAACGTTCATAAGCAGAAGCTCACCTGAAAATCATTGCAGAGAGAGTGATAAGAACGGAATAAATATGACCGCAAATCATCCAGTCGCACTCGAAGTGGCCGAAAAACGGAGGTAACCTGTCATCATTGGTGACATTAAAGCTATTTATATGCGAGCACCAATTTTCGATTTAGTGAATTGGATAACATTTTTATTTCATGTGGGCTCAAAAAACTGAATAATAGAAACAAGTCCTCTTTAGCACAGAATCAACAACATTGGTGTAAAGCAATTACTGGAAAAGGTGCATGTGCTTGTATGAATATTCGAGATGACAAGCGCTAATAAATGATGAGCAGTGGCTATTACCAGCTAAGCAACAAAGTGAGTCCCTCTACTTCGATGAACACTGACGAAACAGAGTTCCAAAGTCGCATATTATAATTCTGAACAAATTTTTGAAACAATGGATCAAGTTGTGTTCAAGAGTAGAAACGAGCAAAAGGGGGTTTTATCAAATTGATGATGCCGAATCTAATAATCAAAAAAAAAAGAAAAAAACAACACACACACAACAAACATCCCATTAAATTTCGAAAATGAAAAATTTTTACATGTACATAAACGGTCAAAGAATTCTACAAACTCTAAACGTAAGCTACCAGTGATTCACTGACCAAACATTCGCTAGCTCAAAAACCTGAGCGAAACAAAGACTTTCATTAAGTTATCTAATATAAAATATATTACTCATGAATGACTGATACTAGATATCTCATGCAAAAGAAAAGTATCCATGTCAGACCACTATGAAAATTAATGCACGGAACTCATTCAGCTGAAATTAAATGAATTTGCTTTTAAAGGTGACAGTGGATACCTTTGTCACCGATTATTTGAAGCAATCCTCACTAAATATATTTGTCCCTCAGCTGATCCATTATTTCCATTGTTGCGCTCACAACATCGCTTGTCTTAGCCGTACCTATGAAACAACTTCTTCAGAAGAGCAGAGAAACGTCATTGACCAGGTAAAGTTCAGTGACTTCTTAAAGTTTAATACCTTTGATATTTCATTTGACCATACTTCAACAGAAAATAATTGAGTGGAAGAGTTGATTACAGAAGGTGAAAAAAGGCCATGTGGTAGTAATTTACTCTAGTCATCATAATGTCAAATTTCTTGATTGATGAATTACCAAACATACAGCAAATGAGACGTACATCACAGTATACTGACGTGTGAAGTAAGGTTCAAAACATCTAACTATATTGCCGTTTTGGAAATAGCAGTCAAAAAAGATGTTACGACTGACTACAAACTATTTATAGAGAAACTCCCTACTCAAAAAAATCACTCAGTCTGCTAACCCCGCTTTTCAGAACCTAATAACGTCACTCTACCAACTTCATTCGCTCATTGCTCTATAAAAACTCCACTCTCTATTCTTGGAACTAATAATTTTCGAATGAAACAGAAAGTGTATTAATTTGTTAGTCAGCCAAAGAAACAAAATTACGAATTATAGATGTGGAAGTTACCCACCTAAAATCAGAATGCAAAATGACATGAAAATTTTGATTCCAGAGTCCAAAGCTGGGACGGAAGACTTACCTCCAATATCAGCGGTGTGCAGATTTCGCTCTGTGAGTACAGTAAACAAGGAATCACTGATCAGATCTGCGTAATTATCCAGTCCCAAATATTTCAGCATATCTACGCTAGCTCGAATAAAGGAAGTCGGATTTGCAATATTTTTGCCAGCTATTTTAGTGCCACTGCCTCTCGTCCCCTGAAAATTATATATGAATTATCAGCATAAGATTTTGGAAAAGTTATTCAGAGAAACGTATTAAAAAAAGTTATTCGTTTAAATAATACAGTTGCAATTGTCCTTGTTTCATGCTTCCAATTATTGAATCAATAAGAATTGCAGAAATTTTTATTTACCAAAATACAAACCGTTTCAAAAACAGCATATCTGGAACCAACGTTAACACCCGACACTAATCCTGCTCCACCAATAAGGCCACAAGCTATGTTCGAGATTATGTTGCCGTAAAGGTTAGGTAAAAGTATAATGTCGAATTGCTGAGGGCGAGAAACGAGCTGCATCGATGCATTATCAATAATCATCGATTCGAACTGCAAATGTGGATATTCGTTTTCCGCTATTTCCTTACATACCTGAAAAATTAAGAAATTACAACAAATAGGACACAGAATCTGGCTTAACTGCTTCCATAAAAAGCTTAACAAGTTTGGCGTAATTCGAAGAAATCCCTAAAATCAACTCCAAACAATTTACCAAGAAAATAACTGAGTACTGCCGGAAGAACTGACAGAAAAAGGCTAAATTCTCAGATTCTCAAATAGGCTGCATTTATGTATGTGAATTGTGCCAATGAACACACCATGCCGAAAGAAAAAAAAGCAGTACATAACACTGAAACATAAAAAACATGTGAATGCCTACTCTTAGAAATAAACCATCTGCAAATTTTTGTATATTAGCTTTATGAACTGCTGTAACTTTCTTCCTTTTGTAGGTCACCGCATATTCGAATGCAAAACGAGCAATACGTTCAATATTTGTACGTGTTACAATCTATAAATCAATTCTAATAAAGAAAGCAATGAACTACAAATTGGCAGAAAACTTTCATCGCTTAAAATATAACTTAAATGAAAAGTAAGGAAAGTTTTAGGAAAACTACAACTTCTGCCAGTTCCAATCAATATTTAAAATCACTATCAAAAATCAGTGACTAATGAGTGCTTGAAAAAACAACCTTCAGACTTTCAACGACTCCTTTCTTGGCCTCATGTTCAAGTCCAGAATATTCGCCCTCTACATTCTCTCTGAAAACCGCACCCTCACTTTTAAACTAATACTAAAAACTCGAACAGAAAAGGCAACACTAGACATTTATATTTAAATATGCAGCAACAATGACTTTTGATATCTTCCGCCGGGAAATTATTGTTCTATGCTAATGTATTTGACCAACATAATTATTTTTTGAAAACGAGTAGTACAACTTTATTTGGCGAACTACATGTCATCACATCAAAAAAATGAATTCTTAAAATGTTGAAGCAAATTCACCTTATGACTAATATATCCAAATCGTTGTGTCGCGATGGAATTGAAGGTATGCTTACACAGTGCAAAATATTGGCATAAAGATCCAAACGTCGTCTCAATTCAACATTCCTTGACTTAAACTGTGGAACATCAAATTTAGTTTCAATGTTGCCCTTAAAAATCCTATGCTTTTAAACCAGTGAAAAAACTAGCATTACCATTATAATTTGCAGTGTTCGACTCATTAATGGGTGCCAAAAACTGAATAATTTAAATTAAAATTCCTTACGCTTTACATAACAAAAATTTGCCAATCTTATGTCTTAGTCACTTTCAAAAGAAACCTACTTTGATATTCATGCGCTTGCATGCGATTGCTAAATAATATCATTTCCTCTGTTTTGATCAGACTAATTTGCATGAGTACAGAAAATGCTGCTATATAGTTGTTAAACAACTTCAAGCGTAAAATGACTTACTTAGAACGTCATTAACGACAATTAATACCAATTTTTTGAAATTCTTTGCTGAAATCTCTTCCCCCTTTTCTTGCAAAACAAGTGTTTGTATATTGGAAGTATTAAATAATACAGAAAATAGCTGAAAGAGAATGAATAAGGAAAAATAAGAACAAACTTTTAGGGCTACTCCATTTCGCCGGGTCGATAACAAAGCATATTCCATATCAGTATCCAGATGAGTCATATCAGAGCTTAACGGCGTTTCCTCAAAGTCCACCGGAACCTATCAACAATTACTGTTAAAAAATGTAAGGGTGCCCCTTTACAGTATTTTTGTAAAATTCTCAAAATGGAGGAGATAAGTCGAAATAAGAGATCCATGTTTTTACGGCAAACAATTAAACTTCGACAAAATTTACATTTAAACTTATAGTTTGAACACAAAACTACAAAACAGTGCAGGCAAATAATAACACAAACTAGACAGTTTCAATTTCTGCGCTCACATCAGCATGGTCAAAAATATGCTTGACATGGTTCATCATTTCTGGCCCAATACCATCGCCTGGAAGTAACGTCACCATCTGACGTCCACCATATTTGGCTAATTTAGCCTAAAATAATTAAGAAACAAATTACTTTTAACAATCCAACAATTGGTTTGACAAACAAATAATAAGAAGTACATAGCAATATCCAGTTCGGAACAACCAGAAGTTTCTTGAAGGCATAATTAGTGAGCAATCACTAGATGAGTTACCATCAATCAAATGAAATCCAGCAGTCATGTCATGCTTAACAGAGTTCATTGGAATCGCAAAAATTAAAAGAATCCGTCGGATTCTTTCTTTTACAACACATATAACGCTTTTCATGTAATGCAATTCCAACATTAATGTTTGCAGCGGATTTTTTTTACAAATTTAGCCGCATCAGGAAATAGTACTTCATGCATTTTAGTAGCAAGCAAGAAAGTCTGGACGATTCTGAAACTGAAACTCGTAAGTGATTCTGCTGGAAGAGATTAAAATGACACTCTATGAATAATTGTCATTTCATGTGATGGCTTGTACCATCAAAATTCAGTTATTAGCTTTCCAAAGCTAGTCAGTGTTTTATATATTTTCAATACAACATAGTATTATCAAGGATTTTAGTCCCTTTCCGACATATTTCAGCTTGTTAAACTTACAAATTCTAATAAGCTAAAGAGTCAGGCTATAAATATTAAAAGTTAAAAAACCTCTTTTTGTTGAAGGACATGCGATCGGAAACGGTACATTTCAATGCTCGAAGTACACTGTGAATTGGCAGTGAGTCCTCGATAAGCACATTTTAGACTTATAGCATTAGTTCGAGATAACCACGCTACTGACTGGGTTGACAACATTATATATATGGTAAAGATATTCAGTTCCTTATTACTTGAAAAAGTTCCTGCAAATTTACGAACACCACAACATACTCAAGTATCAGTGTAACTCTAAAAATCTTAAGGTCACTCTGCATATTACACCCAATGCAGAAAAGTACTTAGATAAAATATGACAACTTTACAAAAGTATCCAACAACTCGTACTTTCCAATTAAAATCAAAATGTAAAGAATAAGTCGCATCAATCACAATGGTAACGCACACTAAAATGTTACTAGGACTACCTCATACCGTTAATTGGGATATTCATCTCAACCGATCGCCCACCATGGCGAACTCCCGAAGCGTTTAATCAAAACAGAAAAAGAACCTCGCACACCTGTCGTCCTAACCGACCTTTTGACCCTATGTGAAAACATTTATCCCTTTAATCGAATAACATCTTTCCGTTACTTATTTTGTAGCCTTTATTATTATTTTCTTCCTCAACCAGTGGCCAGTGATCATCAACCACTGGCTATTAACTTTCACATCATAACGAATCATACGACATGCTAAAGGAATGTTGAAAAAGAGAGATGTTGGTCGAGGGTTACTTTTGAAAGATACTTTAGATATCTGCTAAGTTAGATATTTGGATTATAGTAGGCTTTTTACGCCCACTCACCTGCATACCTTACATCGAAAATAGACCATTTCATCGTAAAAAAAATGTAAGCATATGCGAAGGGAATAAATGAGTTTCTGAATCGATGAAATCAAATGGAACCAAAACGCTAGAATCTCCCCTTAGATAGAATGCATAATGACTTTTACTTTCAATCCAATCTTTTTTTTTCTCTTTATATATTGGAATCATTCAGATTATGTTGTATCGTTCCTTCTGATCGATCACATTTGCTACAAAACACTATTACTCTACTAATACACATCTTCAACAACAATTAAGTCAGGTTGAGTATCAGGAAAGATTTCTTCCGGAACGTTCTTCCCCATAATAGTTTTCACCGCTTTTGTTAAAATTGCTTTGGTCTATTACTTGAATACTGCACAGGTTTACGAAGTACAATGACATTGAAATAAAAATTTTGTATTTAAGGAAGCCATTTAACAGAAAAGTTTTCAGGAGAGAAAAATTTCGGATTTTTGAAAATGTGGAATTCCGATAAGGAATAAATGTAACAATTCATCCTATCACTTCGATAACCTCTTTGTGTTTAATGAATAATCATTTTTAACCAATTATTAACCACACTCATTATTGTTATAATACTTCCGGAAAACAATTTTAGCATTCGTCCATAAGAAATGTTGCAATATCGAAAAATATGCTTTTTTTGTTTTTTTTTCCCTCCATTTTAAAACTATCCATCAAGCTGCTTCACAGAACAGCGTGTTAAAATCCGAAATAAAATAGGCAAAACTGCTATTTATGATCAATTAGTAGTTAATGTCAGTGATGAATGACAAGAAAATCTTAATCCAGCAGGTGACATTAGAGAAATCTGTTATGACTAATAATTCTGGCTGCAAGAAAGTCAGCGTTGGCAAGGGGTGTTTTTTTAACGAAAAATTATTTAAGTTTGTGGAAATTTATTCCAGAATTTGAACTTATGTTTAGGTAGCAGTAATATCGTACATCATCTAGAGCCTTTTCAACCCCTGAGGAAGCTTTGTGTAATCCTGATGATCCTGATTTTTTTTTGTCAGACAAAAGCGATTGATAAGCAGATTAAAATATATTTTCCAGGTATTTGCCCAGATAATAGTCAAACTTCTACGAGAGTTTAAAGGTTTAACTTTGATTAAACCGATTAAATCGAAGTTAACAGGTGGAATCCATTAATTTGCGTTTTTGATTGCAAGAGAAATTTCTTAACTTTGACTGGATGCTTCATATATCTGTTCAAATCTTGCACCAACAACACAAAATTTTAATCCGTTTAACATATCTCTGTTTTTTGGATCGTAACTTTCTCACAATGCAGGATGAAGGAAATCTTTCCTGCTAATCTCCAGAACTGTAGAAAATGGAACAAGTTTTTCGGACATGGATCTCTTCTCAATAAAGTCTGAAACTTATTTGCTAAACATAAATCTATTTCAATCGTCTGAATAATCTTAAAAATAGTATTTAAGCAAACGCTCATTAAGAGGTAACTGTGGAGAATAGTAAGGGAAATAAAAAAATCGAAGGAAACGTATCACTTTTTGGAATACTAAAATTTTGGATCTTATTATCTATCAAGTGTAAAATGAGGAATAAAAATTGTTTAGAATGACCGATTGACGAAATTTTTGGGTGAGTTGCATTAGCTCAGTAGGATTCTGAAATATGAAAAGTATCGGGAAATTTTTCTTAATTCAATGAGTCAATCATACAATAACTTTATATAATGAATTGATAAGTTCTCCCATAAGTGTGTATGCAAGTATGAAAATGTAAGATAGAAATCATCCAGTACGATCGATAGCTTTAAATTTTGATGGATAGTTTAGTTTTGATGAGAACAAAAGTGTCCTCTCAATGATTTCTTCCATTCTTTCGTGATCAACCCATATATCCAACATATTCAATTTAGTTTTTCTTTAAAACTTTATTCTTTATGCCACTTTCCTTATTATTCCTCGAAAAAACGTTAAAAAAAATCCTGTGAATTATCTTATAAATTAATTCATTCTCAGTTCACTCACTTTTGAAGTCGTGGATTAAAATTTTTGCGTTATTTAAAATTGTCAAGTTTACGCGAGACTAAATAAGTCTAGGGGAATAAATGAGTACCTGAATATTAAATGGAAATTGATTTGTTATATACCTGAAATTTTTTGAATTTCTTGCTTTTTTACCAGTTCAATCATTTCATTGTAATTAAATTGATTGTGATTTTTAAAACTAATATTAATGGCATGCAAATTTGGTAACGTTATCAGATCAGCAATGAATAATTTTATATTCTTCGTATGAACTGTTCCAGAATAATAGCGATTTTCTTTTTACCATCGTCCACAATTTTCCCATTATTACTCAATACTGCTTTAGTTGTAAATTTCGTAAACAGCGACTTAAGCGTGTCGTTGAATTTTCGCAAGATTTCTAGGCAATTTATTCCTTGGCGAATTTTGGACCATTTTTCCACTTTGGAATTCAAAAAATTAGGTTTTATGAGCAATAATTAAACTCTTTTTTCTATCAGCAATGAAAGTTTGATATGCTCACAATTTTGGGTTGAAAAGATGCACTTTTTACAAGAATTGGTTTGGTGTTTCTGATTAAAAATATCAGATATGAAAAAATATGATTAAACCTAAATTTAGACTATGCTGCAAAACTGCACTATTTTATATCAGGCTACTACTGAGGTAAGTATCACATTCACGAATTATTTATTTATTAAAGAATGCATAATATAAAATATGTAGACTTTATGTAGGTGGCTTTTTACAGATGACTTCGCCTTAATTAAAAATTGAGGGCGGCATTACACTAGATCGACATTACATGTGAATTTCATTAATTTTGCATTATATATTAGATCTGTATTTTTTGGTTGGAATATGCTATCTTTTAATTGTCAAAATTTTAATTATAATAAGAGATACGTGTAAGACTCCCAACTGTTTTGAAAAACAAAGATTGGATAATATATTAATTCCGGATAAATTCGTTGTTTCATACAGTTACGGTCTCGCTTTTTTCGTATGACCACAGTGTAAGGATATGCATTTTTTTGATTTGCATTTTCATTGTTCCTTGCATTAATAGAAACAGATGAAACGAAGACACGTAGTAAGACGGGAGAAAAGGGGAGACGAGTTCTGAAGTAAAACCGTGAGTTGCTTTCTGAAATGTTTCTGCCATAGGGTCACGAATTGAGCTTTAGTATGAACCTCTTAACCCTCGGATCAGTTTATTAAATAAACTAGGTAATATTCATCAAAATAGAGTATTTTCTATTGCCTTTCAAATGTTTCCAGAGGTCTGAACAGAGATTTTTTATCATGACAAACACGCCTCCGATGAGGCGAAAGTGATAATTCATCAATATTCTTGCTAATGGTGATGTTTATTTAGAATAAACATTGATCTTTTATATAAATTTTGTTGAATAACCCATCAATTAAATTTATTTTAGATGTTAACCCAAGTACAATTTACACCTACGCCTGAATATAAAACTGTATTACTTGGAAATGGCAGTGTTGGAAAAAGTGCTCTAGTTAAGTTATTTAGATTGCGAAGTTCTTTTTTTATCAGTATCCTCATAATTTCGCCAAATTACAGACAGGATAGTTAATGGAGGGAATGTTTTTAAAAAGATATGACCCATCCATAAAGATATTTATAGGAAGGAAATTGCCATTGACGGGACGATTTGTATAGTAAAAGTCCTTGACATCGCTGGAACTATAAGTTTTGATTCCATTTACATTGCTAATTCCTCATTCGAAAGCCAGGAATGTTCGAGGTACGAAATTTGAAAAAAAAAATGACTGACGATGTTCACTTAAAACTTTTTTTCATTTTTTCTTTTTGAGTGAAACAGATAAGTGTGATTCAAACAGCATTTGAAATAAATCCTTGAAATAAGTTTTTCTCACGAGGCTAATGTTTTTTAAAACACAAGGAAAAAAATTTTGAAAACACAAATTATTTGATGGTTATCATTTGAATTTAAGAATCTGACAATCCACAATAATTCAACTGTATGAAGGAACAATTTGCAGCAATGCGCGATTTATACACAAAAATGGCGATGGCTTCATTGTAATGTATTCACTTATTGATGCTGCAACTCTTACAGATACGACTTAAATATTTCAAAGTTTATTGTGAGTTCGACAGAAATGCCATATCAGTTGTTCAGAATTTAAGCACGAATTACAACTAGAAGAAGTCTCAAGTTTTATACGAATACCATGGAGGTTAACAGTTTCGTTGATTGAAGTATACGACAGATTTTCAGTACCACACTGATTGACTTGAATCTTGAGATATTTCAGTAGATTTAGATTAAAATGCTAAATTAAACATCCTGCAATATATAAATTGCAGTTTCCACTAAATGTGACGATGACAAAAATCAAAAAGCATCGAAAACCGATGGTGAACAATATGCAGCTCGGTACAATCCAACATTTTATGAGCCATCGACTAAAAATAATGCTCACATCATTGAGTTTGTGAAATAGTTTACATATTTGCCTACTTTTATTTAAATCAGGTTTCAAATGCAGTCAATATTTAAAATTTTGCAATCACTTAAAGAAATTTAATTGTCTGCAAAGTGAAAACTTCATAGTTTCAAATTGATGTTTTAACTATGCATCATATAGTCGTATTAACATTTTTTCTTTTGGAAGTGCAAATCGAAATTAACTTTGGATGCAGAAAAATGAATGAATGTCCTATGCAAGTATTAGAGACATGCGTTCAAAACATTCAAAACTTATCGGTGATTCCTATTCTCGACAAAAACTGGCTTTTTATAATTGCATTTCGAAATCCAAATAAGAGCACTAATTGTTGCAGATCTTCGAAGATATTGCAAAGCAAATTAAGATGGAAGGTTATTAACACTTCACCAATTGGAAAAAGAAAGCAGGCCGTGATAAATTGATGAGGTGGATCAATGTGCTGCTTCATACAAATTAATTCATCTTAGGATTCAGAAAAAAAAAGTCCTTCAGTTTTTCGACTAACAAATATTTTCATTTCAAGTTTTTTCAACCATTTTATTTTATTTCACTTCATATTCTGTGCAATTTATTAAAAACAAATGATCTGAAACTACCCGGTTGAGATTCATGAACTCTAAAGTCTCCACACCATGACCTTTACCGTATTAGTTCTTTATGTGCCCTCACTCCCTGCTCCAGAAAGCCATTTTCTTAAAATTTTGTGTAAAAGTGCATATTTTATAATATGACCCGCTCCTGGGTAAATCGATTTATTTTCTTCAATTGAATTTTGGCTAATCAAAACTAATTGGATTTTGCCTAGTGATAAAAATCAATATTTTTTGCTTAGATTTTTCCTAAAGCAGTTGTAAAAATGATTCTAAAGTTAACCGTTATTTCAATGTGTTATGGATCACCACTCCTCTCTTTACTCGAATCGCCAAATTATTATTCCATTTGATTTATTAAAAGGGTAGTGTAAGGAAATATTTTTTATCATTACAAATAAAAAATTGGAACATTAAAGATTATGTTGTTTAAATGATAACATCTAGTTGAAATTGTTCTAAGAACTGAAACCGTGATTGCTGAATGATGAAACAGTCGCAAACGTGAAACACCTCTTAGAGTTCAGTTATGCTTTATGTCATGCAACAGACCTATCAAAAGAAAGAAACTTTATGCACGGTGGAATCAACTTCTCCAAACTTTTCTTTTCAACAGAAAGAAATATCCAAAATCATGTTTTTGATCCTGAACTAAAAGTTCAACAGGAGCGGTAAATTGAATCGTTTGGTGTTCAGCTAGGAGAAGTGGAAGTTTAGAAGCTTGTGATTTATATTCTTTGATCTTTGTACTGATATTCTAAAATTTTCATGTCTTTAAGCCACTGCGAAAATAACTATTTTCTTCAAGACAGCAAAATTCTTGGCTCTAATAGTATTTACCTCAGTGTTTGACTGATTTCCCCACATTACTTTAGATGTGCAAGCGTCTTTTGCTTCTGCTTTCATCTTCATAAAACTGTTAATGATTCATGGCACACTGCAACATGTATCTTGTTCAAGCGATTGAGATTGACCAAGATATGTAGTTCCGAAATAATGGCGTTCCTGAATGAAAGTTATGATAAGGAAATTTCAAATACTGCTTGTACTTCCAAATATATTTTTAATGAAGGTTAAACTAAAATGTGGAAATCACAAAAAGAAATCATAAAATCATTGCAATAAATGAATTTCAAAAACTAATAATGTTTAACCTTCAATTAAAATTCAATTAAAATCAAAAACTAATAATAAACAGCCTGTTGTAATCTTCGAAGTCATTAGATTAGGCTAACAGTAAAAAGTAACCAGAGCAGAATAAAATAAGGCAGTCTGGAAGTAAAACATCTTTAAGCTATGTGCACATTTTTGGGGAGCATTCAAAAATTCAGTATTGTGTATCGAAATTTTTTAGTGCAAAATGATGTAAAAACAGGAAAAGAAGAGAGTTCGAAAACTAGTCCTCGACTTATAAGCACTTAGTTGTATTGATGCAGTTGTTCCGATGTGTGGAGGAACAGCTGCGAAAGCTCATTTCTTAAAATACAAATCTATCGAACGGAGCTATTTAACTTTGTACAAACTCTCCATTTTGTTGCCCCTCAAACCAAGCTAATCTTATTATCTTAGCTGTTAAGTTTCAAATTTTCAGCAACCTTTCAATCCTTTGATGTATCCATCCATTCCGATAGTCTTCTCTGCGCACGCAGCAACGATTTGAAATGTTATCAGTACACCGATTCAAATCGTAACATCCTGTTCAAATCGTAATCTTCAAATCATAATTTCTTCTCATTCCAACATTCTTCAATCTTCTCCTGAAGATTCTCATTTTCTCACATCATTTGCAGTGTCCAATTCACCGCATATAATGGAAGTACAACCCTGTGGTAAACCTGATTCCGGATGTTACTTTTCCCTAACATGAAGCATTGTTCCATTATCAGTTTGAAATGTAATGGAATCAATAATCCTCCAGCCTGATATATCAGATTACTTAAGTAATGTTTGCATATAATTTCTACGTAAATGTTGTACTTCAAATGATAAAAACAAAGTACTTTTAATGTTTACTATCATAAGATAATCTTTTAAACGGCTATCAGCAATCCATGCCAATTTGTTTCATTACAAATAAAATGCAAACAAATTCCACATATTTCTATTTTTGCCGATTAATAACATTTTTATTTTGTTAATTATTAAATGGAAAAGATTCCGACTCGTTGCAAAATTATTGAAAATAAATTAGATCTGGAGTGGAAATATAATGCATGCTATGCTTAATTCGCTTATGTAGCACCTAAAATTTCAGTTCATTGTTTGACAGAATTGGTAGCTTCGCCGTTTTAGAAATCGTGATGTTATCATAATTTCTGGTGATTAATTCGAAATTTAAATTTGGGCTTAATTCTGTCTTTTTTTTCGTAAAAATCCTGAAATGAATTTGTAAATCATTAAAGTTCAATGTTCCATTCAGTTATGATTATTTGAAGTTTAATAGATATTTTGATAGTTTGCGATTTATTGTATGATTGCAAATTTGTTTGGAATGTTTGAACAGTTCTCGCCATTCATTGGCTTTCAAACTTTGCAGCATAATACACACATCATCATTTTTCTTAACTTTCTTACGAAGAATCGCTGGTATATCTCAGTGAAAGACTGGAACAAAACATAGTTCCGGCAAATAGTCTCCACCCTAATCGTCACAACTATCCTCAGTTCTTCTTCACTTCTTTCTGCTTTCACGTACCCCGGATGGATTACATCGCAGCCACCCACTTTAATATCCTTCCCTATCTATCATCTCACACACACACACACACACACACACACACACACACACACACACACATACACACATACACACAAACACACATACAAACAAACACACACACATTTGTGGGTCCAAAGTTTTGCTTTCATCCATAAAGCCTTTTTTCACTGCCGGAAACTATTTTCAGTATCATTTTGTCGGTTAATAAGTAATTAAAATATTCGAAATCAATAATCGAAACTATACAGGAGTAAGACTGCATGGCTTTTCAAGCTGATGTAAAGTTTTGTGAAATTGATCGCAGTTAGTCGGAATGTTATGCATATGAAGTTGGTATAGACCTAATAGTTTATGGGCGAAGACAATTTTACTGGATTTACAATAATAATGACTCAGACAGCATTAAAAGGCTACAAATCTTTGTCGGATAGGTTCACAGCACATTTGTTCTAATCGTTTAGGGGGAGGGATGGTTATCTCTTTAGTAGTGTAATAAGTATAACGTTAAGTATAGAAATAATTAATCTATGAGAACGAATGGATCCTCCCATTTGCCACCTATCTGAAGAAGATGCATGTTTGCTGGGCTGTTCACTAATAAGTCATTTATCATTTCAGACTCTTCAAATAATTTAATAAATCCATTTATAATTGAGTCTATATTTGAAATCTACAACTGCGACATGTAATAGTTGAAGACAAGATTTGATTAGCACTGCTAACATTTTCTGACGCCATTGAATATACGATACATAAAAGAGCCAGCGATTTTTTGACAAAAATCATTTCACTAACTTCTCTTTCCAAAATAGTAATTACCAGTAGGGAAAAGCGTGCAGAACTTGCTGTTATTGTATTAGTTAATTTTATGGCTTCCCAAAACGACATCTGCTTATAGTGATTAGGATGTTTCAACAAATACACTTGGTATTGTTTCATGATAGAATTTAGCATCCCAACAGGTAAACTAGATAATCGAGTTCCAAATCATTTAGGTTGGTCAATTTTATTGCTTTCCCGATATGAAAATATCAGCTTCAGAGCAATACTTTATTATGTGCAGTATTAAGGAGCGTTTGTTGATACTCGTGATCTACCGATTAAGTAAACCAAAACCCTTAAATACTGTACTTTTATAAGCATGAAATAAACAAAAGATAAAGATGAATGAGGTGAAGATGTTTTAATAACATTTTATTGGCAGAGAAAAAATCGACTGTACTGTAAGAATAAATGGAACAAATTGAACCGAAACATACGAAATGATTTTTAGCTTTCCAGAATGAGTTTACTGTGAAAAATGAAAAACAAACGCAGGGAAGTACCTTACCAATAACAATAAATTCCTCACATGTTTCATTCATTCTGCTTATAACTGTATACAAATTATCCTCTTTTTCAAATTTCTCTCACAACTCTTTCTCTCATATCTCTATATTTGCAGAAGTTTAGAGTGTGACAATGACATTAATAGATGATTTTCAATTTTCAAAGGATTACTTTTTAGGCTTTTCCCAAGATTCCAACAAAGTTATCGAACCATAATTGCAGGATCAAGAAGGTTGTCTATTCTGTACTATTCCGTTTGTAAAATATTCTTTGAAGTTTAAACCTCGCATCAATAAATGAAATTCATGGCGTAATAACGTTGTCTGTTTCGATGGTTGTTTAGCTTTCATCTTACGGCTGTTAAATCATCCATCCACACATACACATACACTAACAGGACAGAGTGCGCCTTTATACATATACAATAGGAGTGTAAAGTTATGGTATATCGAAGGTTCACTATGCTAACACTGAAGAGATTATGCTGAAAACGCTGGAAGTATTGTTTCTATCCGTACTTAGTCACTTCGAAATAACTGTCATTCACGAGTATTTGCCTTCACTCTCTCACAATCGTCCTTTCCTTGCCATTGGAGTTGTAGGATTGATGATAATTGAGGATGCATTATGATAGCATTTGTCATATATGACTTGGTTGATGACTAAGCGATAATGATGCAATTGAATTTGAAATGAAGCAGTGTGACATTTTCCACTTCTGATTTTATTAAAATAGAATCTTATGAAAGTTGCTTAGAAATATATATTATATTGAATTCATTTAAATTTGCATTAAAAAGTATTTAAGAGCTAACTCAGCTATTCCTTGACCATAATTACCCCCATATAAATGTGGCCTATTATAAGCATCAACTAATATTCGTTTATATGCCGAACTTACTAGTAAATAATATTTGATTATGGATGTTATTTTTCAAAGTATTACTATGTTTACTGCCTATCTGGATATCATCCGAACGCCTCAGTTTTTTGTCGAACATTTTCAAGGTTGCCGTTGAAAATAAGCATTTTAATTTCGAAATTTCGTGCTTGCACTTTCAAGAAAATACAAAGATTGAATGAAGTGGAAGTGAGAAACACTGGTGAGAAAAGAAAACGTTTTCTGAGCTGTTTTCAGCATTTGCTTTCATTTCTAAGATCTCTTTTTTTTTTCAACCGACGACTTGTGGATATTACTGAAGACATTGTTGAAATTTCTCGCGCATTTAGGTACTGAACATTTTTTAATTCATAATTATGGACACATTAGTGCTAACAGAAAAGAAAAATCATGGACAATATTTTAAATAGTTTATTACAACTTATTATTCAGGATGTGAAGTTGTCACTATGATTTCGATTTTGACGCTTTTCAAAATTTCATAACCAGTCAAATTTTTTCCCAAAATCTTTGGAAAACTTTCAGAATATTCGGTACGTCAAATTTGCTTTGGAGGATACCGTAGCAGCAATGGCTCAAGCAGAAATGGTGACAGTGCGCATGTCGCGCGGCCAAATGAGCACACCATGGGGCTTCGATATTGGACCTGATCTCGCCATAATTAATGTATAATTATCAAAAATTGTCACTTAAGTAATTCTGGACGTTAGAATCACGAATGATAACTTTCCATTCTCTTCATGTTGTATTATGTTGCTGAGCAAAGTTTTGAGCAGATCATTTATAGATACTGCTAGCACTTGCGTTGTGCCTAAGCTCTCAGGGATTCTAAGATTTAATATGACAAAGACCACAAATTTATAGCTTAGAAACTGAAAAGCAAAATATATTTTAACATACGTAAAATTTGTTGCACAATGATAAAAATTTTTGCCCAGTAAAGATAGACGAAAATTCAAGTAAAAAATTTAAAAAAAATTCAGTTCAAAAGAAAATTGATCTAAAAAATCAAAAAAAATTCTTTTTCGTTTATCGAATTCTTTCAAATTTGATGGAAAGCATTTGACAAACGATATTATGCGTTCTTCATTAGCATCACATTCGTCATTGAAAGGAGACATTTTTCTAAAAAACTAGTCAATTCTGTAATCTTAAGGATTAGCTTCTAGCTAGATTTCGGCAAAAAAATGATCTAGATGGGCTACATGTCAGCTATGTAACTACCGTGTAACTGTGTTAGTTTCTGCAATAGTACCAGTCTTCCACATAAATAAGGACTGGTTTACAATTGCATTGCAACAGCAAATATTCGTTTTCATCTTCTCATGCTGTCATTAAAAAAGATTTGACTATTTTTGTGAATCCAATTTTTCTTACAAAATTCCAATTGTGTGCTTGATTTTTAGAATCCAACTCATAAGATAAAGTTCCATAGAAGAAAAAATAGAAGTATTGTGCTATAAAAAGCTAACTGGCCACAATTAATGTTGCAAATAAAATTGTTTACAAAATCACTTACTTGGTTATTCATTACTCGAAACCCAAACCCATTATTCCACTACTAGAAACCACATTTTCTATTCCTTTCCTGACAATAGAGTTTACTCGTTTCGACCCTACTTTCAAGTGCATATCAATTTCTGAACTAAAAGGGGTCAGCAAGTTTGGAAAGAAATAAATGGAAATTTTTAAAAAAAAAATCTCGTCAGTCGTTTTTTAAGAGATATTGTCATGCAGATTTGACGGTAAGTACAAACTTATTTGACGCTTCAGCAGTCGAATTCTTAGATATTGATGATGTTGATAATTACTAAAATGTATTAGGAAAATTACATAGCGACAATTTAAAGTGTTGCTAAATATACAGTTTCCAGCTCGGTTGAATGTATTTATACTGTAATATTGAAATATGCTTCAGGTAATCGGAGGCTCGCTAGCTGATCGTGCTGGGTTACTAAATGGTGATATTTTAGTAGAACTCGAAGGTCACCAAGCTTTAAATATCGAATTAGCAAAACAATTGTTATCAAAAACGGAACACAGAGTGGAATTGATTGTGCATAGGTAAGTAATCAAATTAAATAGAATCAGTGAAACTGTTGGCAGTAATAGAGACAACAACATTACCACATAATTTTACATTTTTATTTTTTACTATGATACAAGACAAGAAGAAATGATAATATGCAACATCTGAATCACGACCGATCTTTCGGTCTTCAGTTTAGAGAGTTGGAAATTTTCATTTTGATTAGTTAGACTATTTGTATCAAAACATCGAAGACTCCTCCTGACTTCATTTTCCTATTTCACAACATTCGAAATTTCGGAACTCTCCTGACTTGCAAAATTACTTGAAGTACCTTTGATTTTTATTCGTTCTTCACATGAAGCTTACGGAATGATTTTAACGGTAGTTGCGGCAAAATAGCAGAAAAGAAGAAATATTAACGGGTCTCATGTTTTGACAAAAAATGTTAGAATTCATTTAAGGTGGGTGTCATTATTTCCAAGGAAATTTTCCAAAATCTCATACATTGTAAGTGTAAAAGTGAGCTGTACATGCATTGCCCTATTTTTGAAATATTTTCGCTCAGCTCTACTAAGAGACATCCTTTGCGCTCCTCCCATTCGAACATTCCAATTTAACCCACAGTCTTCTTCTTATGTATCAACTTGCCTGTACACCTAAGCCCTGGTAAATTTCCCCTTTCTTTCACCTTTACTAAGATGAGCATATATCAAAGTCTTTTTAATAATTACGTCTTGGAAAAAATTTTCAAACATTGGAATTGTAACAAAAATGGATAATTTTAGGACGGGAGGCAGTACAATACATCGAATTTGGCAACCGTCGGTAACTGAAAATACAGAATATAATAAATTTCAACATTCTGTATTCAATGTTGCTCCGACCGATACTCAAAAAATGGAGCCTCCGATTGTTCCTTTGAAAGTGTCGTTGGAACACCAGAATCCAGTAATTTTCGTTTCACTTAAATCAAAATTAGCAAATCTTAACCAAACTAATACGTTTCTTTTTCCGCTATTCTCACCTTTGAGTAAGAACCATGAGAAATGAAGTATACAACACGGTGAAATTTTCGAGACAACAAAAACTTCATCCTGAATATCGTAATGAACAAAATACAAGCAGTAGAAAATTACGCAACAGCTTGAATGGACAAAATTTTTCAAGTTCATTTGGAAATGTACTTTATCAAAATTATTTTCCACCCTTGCCGTAGTTTCACTTCGTTCACGATGAGAGTTCAGAATTTTAATTTCAACTGGCTTCACTTTCAATAAAAGATTTATTTTCATTGACTTTTTCAAAAATTTCAAGTGTTAGGCAACCAGAAATGATTAAATTACAGATATTTCAAACCACTTAAATTACAAATTTTTGTTTCGAATGTTTGTTCGTAACCATGATTTTATCCTAAACCAACTTCCAATCACATTTTTCCTTGCAACATTTATTGACAATAAATTTTTTTTGCCAAATACGTGATGCAATGATCTTCCTCTTTTTTCTTTCCTTATTAAATGTTCATGAATTAATAATGAGAAATTTCAATTGTTGTTTTTGGTCTCAAAGATTGTTTTCTGTCTTCCTTCAATTACCCGTTAACTTGAAACTCAATTGTTCACTCTTGAATTAATCAGTTAAGCATGGAAGGAAGTACCAACCGAAAGTACAAAGAATAGTCAAATCTAATTTTTTGAAATTCAAGATAAAACTTTTCAGTTTTTGCTGAGAATTCTCTAGTATGGTCAGTTTATCTAACAAGTGAATATTAATTTAAGAAAATTTCTTAAAATCAAAATTTTGTATAGCTGACAGAATTTGTTGCCCTATAAATGACAATTAGGTATTAATATCAAGTGGTCGGTTTTATGTGATAAAAATTTTGGCCAGCAGTTCAGGATCTAAAATTGTCTATATCTTGTTTGCAGCAAGATTAACACACTTCAAAATACAAGCGGCAATCAGAATGAGGAATCGTCATTCTGTTCTTTTGACCATTTGCACATCCTCACGTCTCTATATCTGATTGCATTTATTGCAGTTTACTCACAGGTTTTAGATGGCCCTATTTTTCTAGATCCATGCATTTTCATTCTAGTTCCAGCCTATTGATTTTTCATCTCATTGTAGAATTTCCATTACGATTCATTACAATCAGTTTAATGAAGAAAGTTATAAGCTGAGGTGTTCACATTTCAAAGCACCAGGGTTTTCTTGGCTTTTTATTTCGTCTTTATCGGTAGATAATCCAGCTGAGTTACTGGTAAAAAAAATACAATCCTTACTAGACTAATGGATTTGTATTTGGTTTCCTTCCTGAAAAAGATATTCGCAAGCTGCCGTGCTAGCAACACTTTATTTACTGCATTAACAATATTCACAGAAAAACATATCTTCCAAGTTCATTTCAAATATACAAACTTGTTGTTTTTGATGTATCTTTGAAAAATAAGACGCAGTCACATTCGTTACTATCTTCTTCAACCAAATTTGTACTAAGTGTAGTCGTAACATTGTTTCATTTTTAATTTAGATTTAAATCTTCCCAGAATTTTAGATTTCCATTAGTCAGCAACTCAACCTTAATTTTTACAAGATTTTAATTTTGAAAAATGTAGTCTCTGCCCATTATTCCTAATTTTCAACAGCAAATAACAACTGAATAATTTTATTATTCGCTTTTTGTTATTTTCTATTTCTACTCCCTCCTTTAATTCTTATACTATTCACACTTTTTTTTGAATATGGCTTTTCCACCGTGGCAGGTATTTTGAAATGAAAAAATTGGAAGGTTTTCTAGGTTTTCCATGAGAACGATTAATTTAAATTAAGTACTCAGTTACACATTGCCGAACGTAATTTTTTTCGGTAGATCATTCGTCGTTTGCTAAACGAAATTCTTCTAGGAATCAATCGCAATCCCGGGTTTTAACGTCACAGCTCAACCATTTGGTGATCATCAGGAAGTGAAACATTTACAGTACAATTCACCGATGCCTCTTTATTCGCCGCAAACAGCTGCTGAACAATACCTTCAACAGACAGGCGGACTATTTGGAACTGAGTAAGTTTTGATTTAAAGCAATGAATATTTTTGAATTTTAACATCATAAAACATAGCGAACTTAAATATATTCTAAAAATTTAATTCATTTGTAAATTAAAACTAAATTGTACATACATCTAAGAGAAATAAAACTGAATGCCTTAAACTAGCTATATCCATCATGGACATTGTAATACTGACTGACTGATCCATACATCACAATAACTGACTTACTTTTGTCACAACATAATAAATGCTGAGTAGTTCGTTATTATCACTAGAAATTGATTTTTGTGCTACGACCATACCAGGCATATGCATAATTACGTTGTTACCAAATAAAAGCTAGTATTTAAATTCATTGAACCGTAGGATTTCTAAGTTTAATTTGTCAAAACCTTTCCTCGGACAAGGTCAACTATATTCTTTGGTCAAGCAAGAATAGTGTTTGTTCAAGACTTGCTTGTGTTCAAGACTTCATCATTCATTAACTACGTGAAAATATTACAGCCCAAATTTGGCTAAACAAAAAGAAATCCCGTCATATTTGCGATCGGAAACGCTTCGTCTTATTCAGGAAAGCGAACGCTCAAAAGAAAATAGAGGGCAGGAGATATCAGTCAGGTCAACTAAAGACAATCAAGGTATATTGTGAGATTTTTGAGCTTTTGCGAAATCTTGTCAGTTCAGATCATAAATTTTCATCGGTTATATTGGGAATTAACTAACATTCATGCATTATAGTTTCCAAATTTTGAAGTTCAGGCACCCTAAAGGTACTGTAGCCAACTTATTGTTGTTATATGATTGAGCCAACTATATATATATATATATATATATATATATAT